GGGTTTCTGGAATCTTAACTATTATATGCCTAGGCATAGATTTTTCTTTTTTTTTTTATCATGGCTAGTTGGAGTCACACAAACCTCTCTTATCTGTATGTCAAGTTCTTCTCCCCTGCTGGGAAGTTTTCTGCCATTACTTCTGTAAACAGTTTCTTAAATTTATTTTTTCCCTTTTATTGAGTTTATTGGTACATTTAAGGTATACAGTACAATTATGTTCATTATTGGGATTGTGTACCTTTACATGACAGGTCTTGGTTCTCATTTTTTTCCCCTTGTCCATGAATAGTTTTTTTAAATGTCATCTGATCAGTCTTATGTTATTCTTCCTTGAATCATCTAACAGCTGCCAGATTGATTTCTTTTGGTCCCTTACTATTTTATGAAATCTTTCTTTTCCTGGTCACTAATTGCAATCCTATCTTCTATATCTGAATTTCTGTCCTTGCATTGACTCATTCTGCTGCTGCTGCTCCTTCAATGGAGTTTTTAATCTCCTAGAAATCTGTTTGCATCTGTTTTATGTATTTCATTTGTTTCCTCTGTTGGAATTCCACCACATTTCTCAGCTCCTCTATATTTATCTCTGTCTGCTCTAGATTTATTAATCATGTCTTATACTATGGGCACAATCTCTGCTGTTATCTGAGATTATTTCTGATTTCATTTTTTCCAGGTCCTCTTTCATTGCCAGTTCAGGAAGTGCAGGTGGTTGAGTATCAGATTGTTCCCTCTTGTTGCCCTTTGGGGTTGCCTTAGGTGATCTGAAAGTCTGGTTTTGAGACTTATTTCCATGTCTTCTCATTTCAGCAGTTGCAGTCTGCTGTGCCTTTGTTGAGGCAACTTTTTGGTCACCCAGTGGTTTCAATTCTCAGCAAGCCATCAAGCAGCTTTTACTCTGCTGCTCACCACTGTACCAATTCATGGGTTTAGAATGATGGCCTTCTATATCCCAGAGCTGACCTGTTGTCTGGGTGGGCTTATGGCTGGGGATGGTGTACTTTTGGGATGCTATCTAGGTGTGCCTCTCACTAGGGCACCTATGTAGCTGTTGTCTGGAATGCTCTTTGACTGGGGCTGTGTACCCCAGTTCCTGTTGTCTGTGTAGGCTTCTGGCTGGGGTCTCATGCACTTAACAATGGTATCAGGGCAAGCCTCTTTCTGTTTCTTGTGCATCTGTGTAGTTCTTTTCCAGGCGGGCCCTTAGCTGGTCCATGCTATGGCGGGTCTCTGGTTGAAGTTTGTGCATGCACAGCTCTTTTCTAGGTGGGCTTGTGGCTTGGACACATGTGCCCACGCCTCTGGGGTCGGGGTGGGCCCTGGCTGGGATTGGATTTCACCCACACCACTCTGGTCCACACAGCTGCTCCCTGGGATGTGCACACACTTACAAATGGTATGGTGGGACTCTCTTGACACTTATTTACACTTTTAGTTTTTCATACCCGAGAAGCTATTCAGTATTTATACATTTGTGGCCTATTTATTTCACTTAAAAATAGATAATGGACCTTCATATGTTAGTAAAGTTACTCAACAAAATCTTCATACCTGGCATATAAACCATATTACAGGTATGCCTTTATAACCCCCAAGGACATGCAATAGTAGAGAGAGCACACCAAAGTTTTAAAAATCAGTTACTTAAGAGGACCCCAGGTGGTTTTGCTTTGCCATGTATCCTGAGCATAATGTAATGGCTGCTCAAAGCAATGGGGCAAACAAGCATGAACTGGAACCTCTAAAGCTGTAAGCCTAAGTAAGCCAAGTATATATTGATTATCTCAGGTGTTTGTAATGGTAAGAGAAAGCTGACTAATATAGCCTCTACAACCATTTCTAACAGACAGCTCTCCACTTATTTTATGGCATTTTCTCCAACAAATTTATGAACTATATTCAAGGATTTTAGTATATTTTTCAGATATTTTTCTTCTTAATAAAATTTGAAAAGCTTCTCTAGTTTTTCTCAAAATTGTTAATCAGGAGCCAGTTCCTTCACAAAGACCTGTGAGAATGTAGCACCTGGTTCCCAAAACATTAATTGAAATTTCCCTTTGGTTGATACATTGTTTTCTAGGCTTTCTCCATATCTTCCTATTTGTTAAGCAGGTTAAAACTGTATTTTAGTCTTTGTCCATCAGACATGCATTCTCATCTGTTTCAGACATATTTTTTATTGGTTTATTTTTTTCTCTGTAGATGGGTCCAGTCTCTTTATATGCCTTGTGATATTCTTACTGAATTTAGTAATACAGTAAGTCTGGAAATCACATTGCTTGTCCCAGGGTTTTCTAAATTAGTTTTTGTTTTATGATTATCTTAGGTTATTCCTATGTCAAGAATTTGCTTCTTTTGCGTGAGGGACTGCCCACTGGTGGACCTCCCACAGACACATCTAGTGTTTGCTGATAAAGGAAGGTGTCGGGGAGACAGCCCACTGGTTGACCCCCTGCAAAAAACATCTGGGATCTGTCTGCTCTTAAGAAAGAGATACTCTTGTTGTCACCCCCACCCTCTAACTGCCCCTCTGCTTTTGTAATCTGAGCTTTGCTTTCCCACTGTATTCCTGCTCACAGCCCTATAAAAACCCCTGAGTTTAGATACCTGGACCCTTCTCTCCGAGGAGCAGAGTTGGGTCCCGGCTGGTGTAAATAAAATTTGTCCTTCTAGACTTGCATTTTCTCATCTGGTCAATATAACGCTATGGTCAGGAAGAACAAAGCCGCCACAGAGGTCTGTGCGGGATCATGGTGGGCCTCAAGCGACACGCTGACCCCTCACTTCATGTGGGAAAGCAGAGGAGATCCAGGCAGCCCAGCTCCAGTCTCAATGGCTTGCCGGAGCCTCGGAATAGAGAGCAGGTAGGCAGTGGACTGGCAGATGACCACTCAGGAGATGAATTTCACTTGATCACCTTTTCAGGAGCTTCTCTCCAGCACCGTCAACCTTGAGAAAAGCAGCAAATGTAACTCCCAGGGTCTGAGGAAGCCCTGCGTCAGTTCTGCTGGGGACTCCTCCCTAGTCAGCCCAACCTCGGGTCTGCCCTCACTAAGGGTCATGTGTTCCCCTCCCACTCTCAGTCCCTGCCCCTGGAGCCTGTAGCAGCCTCCTCGTCCTTCCCCTCATCCCAGCATCAGCCACAGGCCCTGCTTAGCATTAGTGCTGCTCAGCACTGAAGCTGTGGAGACTGGATCTGCTCCCTGACCCAGAGCCTGCTCCTCCCTCTCAGGGAAGGGGCTAGAGACAGGCTGGGGCGGGGGGGTCCCAACATAGAGGCCTGGAACCTGGTTCCCCTGGCCTTGAGTGTGGCTGCAGATAGCCTTCCTCCTCCTCTCTCTCCTCATCTGGGAGCCCCCCAAAATGTCCTGAGTACACGTGAACTCAGAATAGGCACTCTGAGGTTCCATTTTCCCAGCCTTGCTCCTCAACCCTCATTCCCTTGCTCTCCCTCAAAGCACGCCCACCGCACCTGTCACTGAATCTCTCCATAGAAACAACATAGGATGGAGCAGGTGATGATCAGCAGCAGGACCCACACATTTGGAGTGATCACCACAGAGCTGGATGGGGGCAAGTTTTGTGTGGTGGGTGGAGGTGCTGGAATGGAAACAAGAGAGTGTCAGCCCTTGGTCTGACCCCAGTCTGAGCAGAGCCCTCCTCAGCTCTCCTCACTTCAGGTGGCCCAGCTTGGCTGACAGTTCCTACCCCTGTGCTAGATGGCAGCCCCTGTGACGGGTCCTGGGCTGGGAAGTGAGGGAGCAGATGGTCCCTGTGTGCAAGGAGGCATTAGGTAGGGAGCAGCCAGCGGACAACGCCCCCCACTCTTCTGCTGGCAGGAGAGGAGGTGACTCATCAGGGTGGTGTGAGGGAAGCATCTCAGGAGCTGATAGTTGAGGTGCTTTGGAAGGGTTTCAAGAAAGACAGCAGAAGAGGTGGAAAAGAAAAGTGATTCTGGGGTGAGGAAAGACTGGAAAAATCCTGGGCAGAAAATAATGCCCCTGTAGGGAAGTCAGCAAGAAAGCCACAGTGCAGCCATCAAAATACGTGCAGTGAGCAAGACATATCAGAAAGTGCAGGGGATTTGGCTCAGTGGTTCTGCTGCCTGCCTCACAAGCACACGGGCCAGAGTCCCAATACAAAAAACAAAAACAAATTAAAATAAAATAATTTAGCCAGGCGTGA